AAGTCCAGCGGACGAATGGCTCTTAAGTTCCTGCCGTCACCTGGGAGACTTTTATGTGGGGTTTCCCACGTGAAATATGTATAATTATATACATATATACAATTTCTAAAAGGAGAAATAAAATTCATATTTGAAAATATAATTTAAAATCACATAAAGGAGATAAATCATCATTAACAATCTGAAGTCTAACAAACTCTCAAGAAATGGCTGTTTGTAAAATGGCTCATTAAAAAAAAGATTAAAATTACCTTAGCAGCTTGAGATTCTCTTAAGTAATATTTTAAAAGATCAGAAAGTTTGAGGTCTTCATCAGCAGACACTCGTGCTTCTATTTTCTGGAAAGGAAAAAATTGAATATTTAATCAACAACTACATTCTGCTCTCAGTGGTTTCCTTCTTAATTACAACTATTATTATAGTTTAAAAAAACTGAAGTTTTAACTATAGTATCCATTCCTATTTATCTAGCTTTCCTTCCCTTTTTGTTTCTACTAGCCTGCTACTTTTCTTTGCAACTCTCACATAAAATGAACAGAAAAAAGATCAGATCAAATGAGACTCATGAGTTTATGGAAGGACAACTTTTTTTTTTTTTTTTTTTTTTTTTTGAGACGGAGTCTAACTCTGTTACCCAGGCTGGAATGCAGTGGCAAATCTTGGCTCATGGCAACCTCTGCCTTACCAGGTCAAGCAAGTCTCCTGCTCTCAGCCGTCCGGAGAGCTGGAATATACAGCATTGCACCACCAGTGCCCATAATTTTTCTATTTTAGTAGAGGACAGGGTTTCACCATGTGGCCACGGTCTGGTCTCGCAACTCCTGACCTCAATGGGATCTCCTGCCTCAGGCCTTCCATAAGTGCGGGATCAGGCTGTGACTCACCATGCCCCAGTCAGGATCTAAAATGAGTCAATATCACATCTTGACCTCGATTAATATTTTTCTCGGCCGGGCGACGGGCGTCAAGCCTGTTGAACCCGCACTTTGGTGAGGGCCGAGGACGCGCGGGATCGATGAGGTCAGGAGATCGGAGACGCATCCTGGCTAAACACGGTTGAAACCCCGGTTCTCTAACTAAAATATAAAAACTAGGCGCCCGGGCGACCGGGTGGGGGCGCCTGTAGTCCCAGCTACTCGGGGAGCTGAGGCAGAAGTAATGCGTGAACCGGAGGTGGAGCTTGCGTGATCGAGATCCGGCTTACTGCACTCCAGCGCTGGGCGACAGAGTTGAGACTCCGTCTCAAAAAAAAAAAAATAATAATAAAAAATAAAAAAGATAAAAAAGTAAAAATTTCTCAGGCCAGCACGGGGCTCATGCCTGTGTAATCCTGAACACTTTTGGGAGCCAAGGGCTGCGGCGGATTCACGAGGTCAGGAGTTCGAGGACCAGGCCTGCCAACATGGAGAAAGCCCCGTCTCTTACTAAAATACAAGAATTAGCGGGGCATTGGGGGTGTGTGCTGTAATCCACAGCTACTCAGGAAGGGGCTGAGGTGCAGTGAGCCAGAGATGAGGCCACTGCACTCCAGCGCTGGGCACAAACAAGGACTCTGTCTGCAAAAGAAAAAAAAAATTGTCTAGTATTCTTTCTTTTCAGACGGAGTCTCGTCTTCCAGGCGAGAGTATAGGGCATGATCTCAGCTCCCTACAACCTCCGCCTCCTGGGTTCAAGGAGATTCTCCTGGCCTCAGCCTCCCTAGTAGCTGGATTATAGGGTAGTCACCACACTGGCTTAATTTTTGTATTTTGTTTAAGTAGAAGATGGGCGTTTGGTCTGGTTGGCCAGGCTGGTCCTCGAAACTCCGACTCAGGTGGATCGCCCACCTCAGCCTCCCAAAGTACTGGGATTACAGGTGTGAGCCACTGTGCCCAGCTGCTATTCATTTCAATTGTAATTGATATGCACACACAATTTTAAAGGAATGAATGCTTGCAATGGTAGACTAGTTAATTCAATCTAATCCTCCTGCTGAGGACAACCAGAAATACAGTCAAAGCATTAGTAAAATGTGCCTGAAGACACTGTAGAGTAATAAACAGAAGTGGTATGTACAAGGTGAGATTGAAGGGGAAGTAGTCAGGTCAGACTAAAAAGATAGCTCTTCAGTATGACTGGACAGAGGATTAAAAAAAATACATCAACCAAATGTAATATATGGGACCCTGTTTGTATCCTGATCAAACAAACTATACTATAATAAAAAGCCATTTATGAGACAATTGGGAAAATGTATATACTGGATATTTGATGACATTAAGGGGGAATCATTAGTAACAGTATTGACTATATTAAAAATAATTCTTATACTAAAAAAAGAGACAAGTGTGCATGAAGGACTCAAAACAGAATGAAGATGGACTTTTTGGAATGTAAGAACTTTAAGCAATGTAGAAAACGTTAACATTCGCCAGGTGCAGTGGCTCACATCTGTAATCCCAGCACTATGGGAGGAAAAGGCAGGTGGATCATTTGAGGTCAGGAGTTCGAGACCAGTCTGGCCAACATGGTGAAACCCCCCATCTCTACAAAAACACAAAAATTAGCTAGGAATGGCAGCACACGCCTATAATCCCAGGTACTTGGGAGGTTGAGGCATGAGAATCACTTGAGCCCAGGAGGCGAAAGTTGCAGTGAGCCAAGATCGTGCCACTGCACTCCAGCTTGGGCGACAGAGCAAGACTCTGTCTCAAAACAAACAAACAAAAAAAAAAAACAAAAGGGAAAATGTTAATATTCAGAAACCTGGCTGATGCATTACAGGAATTCTTGTACTATTTTCTGCAACTTTTCCATAAGTCTGAAATTATCGTCAAAGTAAAAAGTTAAAGTAAGGCTGGCACCTTAATAAGGCTCATGCCTAGCATTTTGGAAGGCTGAGGCGGGTGGAACATTTGAGGTCAGGAGTTCGAGGCCAGCCTGGCCAACATGGTGATACCCATCTCTACTAAAAGTACAAAAATTAGTCGGGTGTAGTGACGTGTGCCTGTAATCTCAGTTTGGGAGGCTGAGGCAGGAGAATCACTTGAACCCAGGAGGCAGAGGTTGCAGTGAGTCGAGATTACGCCACTGCATTCCAGCCTAGATGACAGAGTGAGACTCTGTCTCAAAAAAGAAAAAGAAAAAAAAAAAAGTTAAGGGGCCAGGTGCGGTGGCTCACGCCTGTAATCCCAGCACTTTAGGAGGCCAAGGTGGGCGGATCACGAGGTCAAGAGATCAAGACCGCCCTGGCCAACAGGGTGAAACCCCATCTCTATTAAAAATACAAAAATTAGCTGGGCGCTCCGCCCTGGCCAAAACAGGGTGGAAACCACTCTATTGAAAAATAACAAAAATTAGCGGCGGCGCGAGGGCGTGCACCTTGTAGTCCTAAGCTACTCGGGAGGCTGAGGCAGGCGGATTGCTTGAACCTGGGGAGGCGGAGGTTGCAGTGAGCCGAAAATGCGCCACTGCACTCTAGCCTGGCGCAGAGTGAGATTTCATCCTTATAAAGGTAGAAAACACTCAGTTTTAACAAGCTTGTAGAATAACCTAAATGCTCATACTTATTCTTGTGGGCATGCAAATTGGTACAATCATTATAGGAAAGTTTTGCAGTTTCTGCAAAAGCTTTTCACATGGTTATCCTATGATCCATCAATTCCCCTCCTAGTTATATATATCCAACAGAATTGTATACTTGTGTTCAGAAGATATACAAGAATAATCTTAGCAGTATTGTTATAAAGAAACCCAAACTAGAAACTATCCAAATGCCTATCAACAGTATAACAGATAAACAAATTAATAAAATACTATACAGCAAGAAGAATAAAGGAACCAGGCTAGGTAGCTCATGACTATAATCCCAATGCTTTGAAGGGTGAGGCAGGAATATCAATAGAGGCCAAGAGTTCAAGACCAGCCTGGGCAATGTAGTGAGATTCCCTCTCTACAAAAATTAGCCAGGCATGGTAACACACATCTGTAGTCCTAACTACTTGGGAGGCTGAGGCAGGAGGATGCTTGACCTCAAGAGTCTGAGGCTGCAGTGAGTTATGATCATGCAAGTGCACTCCCACCTGGGCAACAAAGTGAGACCCCGTCTCTAAAACAAAAAGAATAAAGGAACTACATCTATGTGCAACAACATGGTTTAATCCTATGAATGAATATAATGTTGAGTACATTAAACAGACATGAAAGAATATAAGCCAGGCACAGTGGCTCATACCTGTAATTCCAGCACTCTGGGAGGCTGAGGCAGGATGACTGCCTGAGGCCAGGAGTTTGAGACCAGCCTGGGCAACATAGCAAGACCCTGTCTCTACCAAAGGAAAAAAAAAAGAAAAAAAGAAAAAGAATACCTGTTGCACAAGTATTTATATTATGTATAAAACTAAAAAACGGGCCAGGTCGGGCGCAGTGGCTCACGCCTGTAATTCTAGCACTTTCGGAGGCCAGGGTAGGCAGATGGCTTGACATCAGGACTTTGAGACCAGCCTGGCCAACATGGTGAAACCCCTCTCTACTAAAAATACAAAAATTAGCCTGGTGTGGTGGTGCATGCCTGTAATCTCAGCTACTCGGGAGGCAGGAGAATCACTTGAACCTGGGAGGCAGAGGTTGCAATGAGCCGAGATTGTGCCACTGCACTCCAGCCTCCAGCCTGGTTTTGATCTCAAAACAAACAAACAAAAAACAAAACAAAAAACCCGAATCCATACTGGCAGTGCCTTGAAAGGCAGCTGAGGAGATGAGGAGGCGGCCAGGCATCTGGGTTGCTGGTAATTTTCTATTTATTTTCTTTCTTTCTTTGATACAGGGTCTGTCACCCAGGCTGGAGTACACTGGCACAATCACAGCTCACTATAACCTTGACCTCCTGGGCTCAAGAATCTTCCTGCCTCAGCCTCCCAAGTAGTTAGGACTACAGTTGTGCGCCACCATGACTGGCTAATTTTTGGTAACTTTTGTAGAGAGGGAGTCTCACTACATTGCCCAAGCTAGTTGAACTCCTGGCCTCTACTGATCCTCCCGCCTCATCCTTCAATGTATGGGATGATGGGCATGAGCCACGTGGCCTGGTTCCTTTATTCTTATTGGTATGTAGTATTTAATTAATTTGTTTGTCTGTTCCAGGAGGTATTCTTTTTTTTTTAGAGATAGGGTCTCACCCTGTCGCCCAGGATGGAATGCAGTTGCACGATCATACACCTCACTGCAGCCTCAAACTCCTGAGCTTAGGCATCCTCCTGCCTCAGCCTCTCAAGTAGGACTACAGGTTTGCACCACCACACCTGGCTAATTTGTAAACATTTTGTAGAGATGGCATCTTGCTATGTTTTCCCAGGCTGATCTCAAATTCCTGGGCTCAAGAGATCCTCCTGCCTCAGCCTCCCAAAGTGCTGGGATTACAAGCATTAAATCACTGCACCCAGAAGAATATGAACTTTTATACAAATACCTAAAGGCCATAACAAAAAATGGAATTTCCTGAAAAACTCCCAATGGAATCCAAATCTGAATCTGTTTCATCATCCTTCTGAAGTATACTCATCTTCCTCGATGGAGTTAAACAGAACCATAGCAAGTTAAATATTACCATATGCAGATATTTAAATAGCCAAAAGGTTAATAGTGATTACTTTTTTTTTTTTTTTTTTGAGACGGAGTCTTGCTCTGTCGCCAGGCTAGAGTGCAGTGGTGCGATCTTGGCTCACTGCAATGTCGGCCTCTCAGGTTCAAGCGATTCTCATGCCTCAGCCTCCCGAGTACCTGGGACTACAGGCATGCACCACCACGCCCAGCTAATTTTTGTATTTTTAGTAGAGACAGGGTTTCACCGTGTTGGCCAGGATGGTCTTGATCTCTTGACCTCGTGATCTGCCCACCTCAGCCTCCCAAAGTGTTGGGATTATAGGCATGAGCCACTGTGCCCGGCCAATAATGATTACTCTTTTAAAAAAAAATTTTATGAATTGTGGTAAAAACCTTTAACATGAGCTCTCTGGGCACAATATTATGCAGTATATCTCTATAATTTAGTACTTACTCTTGTTTTATCGAACAGTTCTGAAACTTTGAGAAAAAACCTGTAAAGGAAAATATTTTCATCATATGCCACATTCAAAGTAATTGTCCATTTCAAATGTATGAGAATATGCTCCCAAACCATATTAATAACACCTTGTCTCATTGCAGTTATATTCAATAGCCCTATTAACTGCAGACTTCATTTAGCTTCACAAAAATCTCCCTGTATTTCTACCAATAAAAGAGATTACTTGAAATCTGTTTACAGATAAGACTATCTGTTCATTTATTTATTTTTTTGAGATGGAGTTTCAGGCTTGTTGCCCAGACTGGAGTGCAATGGCTCAATCTCAGCTCACCGCAACCTCTGCCTCCTGGCTTCAAGCGATTCTCTGGCCTCAGCCTCCTGAGTAGCTGGAACTACAGGCGCCTGCCACCACGCCCAGCTAATTTTTGTCTTTTTGGTAGAGACAGGGTTTCACCATGTTGGCCAGGATGGTCTTGATCTCTTGATCTCATAATCCGCCCACCTCAGCCTCCCAAAGTTCTGGGATTACAGGTGTGAGCCACTGCGCCCAGGCCTGATTTTTTCTTTTTTTTTTTTTTTTTTGAGACAGAGTCTGGCTCTGTTGCACAGGCCAGGGCGCAGTGGCGCAATCTCAGCTCACTGCAACCTCTGCCTCCTGGGTTCAAGTGATTCTCCTGCCTCAGCCTCCTGAGTAGCTGAGATTACAGGCAATTGCCACCACGCCCAGCTTAATTTTTTGTATTTTTAGTAGAGACGAGTTTTCACCTGGTTAAAAATCAGCCAGGTGTGGTGGTGCACACCTGTAATCCCAGCTATTCAGGAGGCAAAGGCAGAAGGATGGCTTGAGTCCAGGCTCGTCTTGGACTCCTGATCTCAAGTGATCTGCCCGCCTTGGCCTCCCAAACTGCTAAGATTACAGGTGTGAGCCAGAGCGCCAGGTTCCATTTCAAGATGACAGCCTAAGCCATACATTAAAGGTGTTTTTGTTGTTGTTATTCTTGAGACTGAGTCTCGCTTTCTCGCCCCAGCTGTAGTGCAGTAGTGCCATCTCGGTTCACTGCAACCTGCACCTCCTGGTTTCAAACGATTCTCCTACCTCAGCCTCCTAAGTAGCTGGGATTACAGGCACCCACCACACCTGGTTAATTTTTGTAGTTTTAGTAGAGATGGGGTTTTGCCATGTTGGCCAGGCTGGTCTCAAACTCCTGGCCTCAAGTGATCTGTCCACCTTGGCCTCCCAAAGTGCTGGGATTACAGGCGTGAGTCACTGTGCCCAGCCAACAAAATTTATCTAGATTCATTTTAGCAAATAGGCTGAGGCAAGCAGCTCACTTGAGGCCAGGAGTTTGAGACTAGTCTGGGCAACACAGTGAAACCCTGTCTCTACTAAAAATACAAAAAATTAGTGGGGCATGGTGTCACAATCCTGTAATTGAACTACCCTTTAATACTCTGGTGCTTGGTCAGGTGCAGTGGCTCATGCCTGTAATCTCAGCACTTTGGGAGGCCGAGGTGGGCAGATCACAAGGTCAGGAGATCGAGACCATCCTGGCTAACATGGTGAAATCCTGTCTCTATTAAAAATACAAAACAAAATTAGCCAGGTGGCGTGGTGGCACACGCCTGTAGTCCCAGCTACTCAGGAGGCTGAGGCAGGAGAATGGTGTGAACCTGGGAGGCGGAGCTTGCAGTAAGCCGAGATTGCGTCACTGCGCTCCAGCCTGGGCAATAGAGTGAGACTCCATCTCAACAACAACAAAAAAAGTCTGGTGCTGGGATATTTTTTAGTTGGTATCAGCATTTGACAGATAAACTAGGTAAAAGTGAAAATAAATTCTTAAGTAGAAATTGGTTATTCATTTTTTTCTTTTCTTTTTTTTTGGTGATGGGCTATTGTTCTGTCACCCAGTTCCGGCACAAACTTGTGGTCCCAGCTACTCAGGAGGCTGAAGCAAAAGGATCGCTTGACCACAGGAGTTCAAAGCTGCAGTGCTCTATGACTGCACCTGCGAATAGCTACTGTATGCCAGCCTGGGCCACACAGGAAGACCTGCTCTCAAAAAAAAAAGGGCACAGCACAGTTTCAAGTATTCTGTAAAATATATAATTAAAATGACATTATAAATGAATTAGGGCAAATACTACTCAAAGCAAAAACAATTTTATGAACTTTGCTTTCACTCAAGAGAATTTGCTTTGACAGATTTACGTTAGAGAACAGATGGAAGGGTTTCTTTTTTCCTTCTTCCTGATAAGAAGAATTAACTCTTTGGGAAGGTGGCTTTTTTCCTTTTTTTTTTTAAGACAGAATTCCTCTAGTTACCCAGGCTGGAGTACAATGGCGCAATCTCTGCTCACTGCAACCTCTGCCTCCCAGGTTCAAGCGATTTTCCTGTTTCAGCCTCCGGAGTAGCTGGGATTACAGGCATGCGCCACCATGCCTGGCTAATTTTGTGTTTTTAGTAGAGATGGAGTTTCTCCATGTTGGTCAGGCTGGTCTTGAACTCCCGACCTGAAGTGATCTGCCTGCCGTGGCCTCCCAAAGTGCTGGGATTACAGGCGTGAGCCACAGTGCCTGGCCGATGGCATGTTAATTAGTGTAAGCTATCATACCGTGCTTTGCCAAAAAGCTTGACTTTTAAATATCTGAGACAGAATATACTAGAGAAAAGGTCAAGGATGTGGTTTAGAGAAAGGCATAGACTATGAAAATAGTTTTCCTGCTTAAAAATGTGTTTAATTTTTAGTTTTTTTGAGACCAAGTCTTGCTTTGTCGCCCAGGCTGGGGAGCAGCAGTGTGATCTCGGTTCACTGCAATCTCTGCCTCCCAGGTTCAAGTGATTCTCACGCCTTGGCCTCCTAAGTAGCAGGGATTACAGGTGTGTGCCACCACGTCTAATTTTTGTGTTTTTAGAGATTGTGCCACTGCTCTCCAGCCTGGGTGACAGAGCAAGACACTGTCTTGCAGGGGAGGGGCGGGGGGCGGAATCAATTTGACCTCCAGTGAAATATATACACACATATACATACATACATATATGTTCTAATTTCCAAATAGCAGTTCTTATAAGCTTTATCAAAACCTAAAAACACTAATATAAATTCTGTTCTTCCACTCTCTTACACACAAATCAGCCCATTTTCATAAATAAAACACAGTTGGGGAGGAAGAAAAAAATACATATATATAGAGAGAGTAAAGTCGATTTTTATTTCTCAGATTTAAAAAAATAGGATAGAAAGGGAGGAGAAAAAATATCAACCCAAGTTTTTTTTGTTTGTTTGTTTGTTTTGAGACGGAGTTTTGCTCTTGTTGCCCAGGCTGAAGTGTAATGGTGCGATCTCAGCTCACCACCACCTCCGCCTCCTGGGTTTAAGCAATTCACCTGCCTCGGCCTCCCAAGTAGCTAGGATTACAGACACCCACCACCACACTTGGCTAATTTTGTATTTTTAGTAGAGACAGGGTTTCTCCATGTTGGTCAGGCTGGTCTCAAACTCCTGACATGAGGTGTTCTGCCCGCCTCGGCCTCCCAAAGTGCTGAGATTACTGGCATGAGCTACCTGCCCAGCCCTCAACCCAAGTTTTTAAAGAAGGTCCTTATTATCAACATGTTTTGACAAAAATATTCCAAAAGTTTTGCATTGTAAGTATTGTTGGCTGGGAGAAGTGGCTCACACCTGTAATCCCAGCACTTTGGGAGCTGAGTTGGGCGGGCCACTTGAGGTCAAAGGAGTGCAGTGGCATAATCTTGGCTCACTGCAACCTCCGCCTCCCGGGTTCAAGTGATTCTTGTGCCTCAGTCTCCTGAGTAGCTAGCTGGGATTACAGGCACACACCACCCACACCTGGGTAATTTTTATATTTTTTGGTAGAGATAGGGTTTAGCAATGTTGGCCAGGCTGGTCTCAAACTCCTGACAGGTTTTCCACCTCCCAAAGTGCTGGGATTACAGGCATGAGCCACTGTGACCAGCTATATTTCAAGTTTTATTAATTTATTTTTTTCTGAGATGGAGTCTTGCTCTATTGCCCAGGCTAGAGTGCAAAGGTGTGATCTCAGCTCACTGCAACCTCCGCCTCCCAGGTTCAAGCAATTCTCCTGCCTCAGCCTCCTGAGTAGCTGGGATTACAGGTGTGCATTTTTGTATTTTTAGTAGAGAAGGGGTTTCACCATGTTCGTCAGGCTGGTCTTGAACTCCTGACCTCTTGATCCGCCCACATTTCCCTCCCAAAGTGCTGGATTACAGGCGTGAGCCACCGTGCCTGGCCTATTTCATGTTTTAAATTAGAATACTTACTTGCATATATCTGTAGAATCCTGAGTTCCTAAAGCATATAATGAAGAACCAATTCTATTGTAATCATCTGCAGCACCTATGAAGAAAGTTTTAAGAATTTAGTATACCTATTCCTTGATTTAAAAATACTTACTGAGTACTCACCTGTCAAACAATGTGTAATATGAGACACACTAGTAAAGAAAATAACACAAACAACAGGCATGGTGGCTTATGCCAATAATCCCAACACTTTGGGAGGCTGGGGCAGGCAGATCACCTGAGGTCAGGAGTTTTGAGACCAGCCTGGCCAACATGGTGAAACCTCATCTCTACCAAAAATTTAAAAATCAGCCAGGTGTCATGGTGCATGCTTGTAATTCCAGCTACTCAGAAGTCTGAGGCAGGAGAATCACCTGAACCCAGGACGCAGAGGTTGCAGTGAGCCAAGATCACGCCACTGCACTCCAGCCTGGGCAACGGAGCAAGACTCTATCTCAAACAAAAAAACAAACTGGAGGCTGGGTGCAGTGGCTCACGCCTGTAATCCCAGGACTTTGTGAGGCAAAGGCAGGTGGATCACGAGGTCAGGGGATCGAGACCATCCTGGCTAACATGGTGAAACCCCGTCTCTACTAAAAATACAAAATATTTGCTGGGCATGGTGGCGGGCGCCTGTAGTCCCAGCTACTTGAGAGGCTGAGGCAGGAGAATGGCGTGAACCCGAGAGGCAGAGCTTGCAGTGAGCCGAGATCACGCCACTGCACTCTAGCCTGGGCAACAGAGCGAGACTCCGTCTCAAAAAACAAACAAACAAAAAACAAACAATCAAAAAAAAAAAGTAGAAAGCAAGAAATATAACTTTCTTCATTAATAGACGTGACATGATCATCTACATAGAAAATACTAAGGAATCTACAAAATAGTTACTAGAACTAATAAGTGAGTTTATTTAGCAAGATTGCAGAATATAAGACCAATACTGAAAAAATACACTGTGTTTCTATGTATTAGCAAAGAACAATTTGAAATTGAAATTTTAAAAAACATAACATGGCCTGGCGCGGTGGCTCACGCCTGTAATCCCAGCACTTTGGGAGGCCGAGGCAGGCGGATCATGAGGTCAGGAGATTGAGACCATCCTGGCTAACAAAGTGAAACCCCGTCTCTACTTGAAATACAAAAAAATTAGCCAGGTGTGGTAGCGGGCGCCTGTAGTGCCAGCTACTCAGGAGGCTGAGGCAAGAGAATGGAGTGAACCTCTGAGGCAAGAAAAGAATCACCTTAAGGTCAGGAGTTCGAGACGCGCAACAGCCTAGCGCCCACATGATGAAACCCCATCTCCTGGCTTGGGCGCCAGTGCCTCAACCTGTAATGGTCCACGCCACTTTGGAGGCGCAAGGGCAGCGCAGATCATGATTCAGCGACAGATCCGAGACACATCCTGGCTAACATGGTCGATAACCCTGTCTCTACCTAGAAACAAATACAAAAAATTAGCCGGGCGTGGTAGCAGGCGGCCTCCGTAGTCCCCGCTACTTGCAGAGCTGCAGCGGCCCAGAAGAGATGATGTGAAAGCCCACACCGGAGGCAAGAGCTTGCGTGAGCCCCAAGCGTTTGAGCCCACTCGGCAACTCGCCAGGCCTCGGGTAACCGCAGAAGCGACGCACTCCGCCCATCTCAAAAACAACAACCCCACATTCTCTGCTAAAACGCGCAACATACAACACAAATTAGCTGAGCATGCAGTGGCGTGCCCGCCTGTAGTCCCAGCTACTTGAGAGGTCCTGAGGCATGAGGAATGTTGGAACTCGGTGGCCGGGGAGGAGAGCGTCAAGTGAGCCAAGGACCCTACAGATCCCACTGCGCACCCCAGCCTGAAGCGCACCAGAGTCCAGGCCCTACCCTCGCCCGCCACAAAAAAAAGAAATAGCCACCGTGTGCATGCCGCCCTGTGTCTGCCCGAAGCTTAAGCTCGGGACACGGCCCTAAGGTGGGAAACATCGGCTTTGAGCCCAGAGCCCTGAGACTGCCAGTCGAGCGGCATGATCACGACCACACCATCGGCACTCCATAAGC